AAGCTATGTATTTAAAAATGCTACAAAATGTGTCCCTAAATTCTGCCATCTAGGGAACTCCCGATTCTAATTCTTTGTCCACTATAATTAGTTCTAACTTATTAAATGCCTACTAACATGAGTATGTTTCTATGTGATTTATTTAATATACAAGGAGCTATTATGAAAAAAATTTGCCAGAAATGATCTTGGCAATATTTTGAACACCAAAAACTCTAAATTTTTATGGTAATTATATGTTTATATTTATTTCTGAATGTCTTCGTAGAATTGAGAAGGACAGGTTACTTCTTGATTCATAGCCCTTCTAAGACTCTGTTAAGAAACAAACTAAGCACCACAACGCTAGACATATATGCACATCAAAACACTAACAACAATATGACCTCACTCATATGTAGAATGTAAAACTGAAAGCAACAAATGAACACACAAGAAATCAAACCAAACCTCACTGACAGAAGACAACAGCACGGTGGTTATCAGAGGGAAGAGAGTGGGAGTAGTTAAGGGTAAACTCAGTCAAATATAAGAAGAATATTTGACTTTGGGTGGTGGGCACACAATGCAATATACAGATGATGTATCATTGAATTGTACACTTGAAACCTATATAATCTTATTAACCAATGTCACCTCTGTTAGTTTAACAACAGAAAGGAAAGAGCGGTAGGAAGGAGGAGGAAAAACACTGAAAAGAGTATGAATGTTGAATGAATAGATTAAATCTTCTAAGAAAAAAAATAAACATCTTCCTAAATTAATTCATAGAAATACAATTTTTACTGTACAAGCTGATGCTTTAGCTTTAACTGTTTTATATCTGTAGCTTTATATATGTGAAATCTCATTTATAACTTTAACTCATGATTATTTTTATGTATTTCCATAATAATAATGTCCATTTATAAATTTATTTATACATATCTATGTGCATAGCTTCTCTCTCATAATAATAGTAAAAATATGATAACTACAACAATCACATATAGCACTTTATGCTAGAAATTACTCAAAATGCTTATACTACATATTAACAAATTAACCCACACAATAAATTATGATGTAAATGTTAGCATTGGTGTCATTTGCATCAGAGAAAACTGGGGAAGAGAGAAGTTAATTTGTTCAATTGTATTCAACAGTTAGTAATTGGTTAAAATGGATTTCAATACAAAGTTTCCAAATCCTTTAACACTGTGCTATATTTAGTCTTTTTTTAAAAAATCTTTATTATTGAAAGTATAACATAGATACTCCTTTATCCCACATTAACCTCTTCCAGCCCATGCCCATCCCTCCAAAACCCCCAGGACTTCACCACCCCATTGTCTGTGTCCATGGGTTATGCCTCAATGCATACAAGTTCATTGGTTGATCTCTTCCCACCCACCTTACCCTGCCTTCCCTCTGAGGTTCAATAGTCTGCTCATGCTTCTTTATTTGGTTCAATAGATTCTACAAATGAGTGAGATCATGTGATATTTATCTTTCTCTGACTGGCTTATTTCACTTAGTATAATGCTCTCCAGTTCCATCCCTACTGTTTTGAATGGTAAAAGTGCCTTCTTTTTTACAGCAGCATAGTATTCCATTGTGTAGATGTACCACAGTTGTTAATCCACTCATCTGCTGATGGGCACTTAGGCTGTTTCCAAATCTTAGCTATTGTAAATTGTGCTTCTATGAACATAGGGGTGCATATATCCTTTCTAATTTCTTAGGATATATTCCTAGAAGTGGGATCACTGGGTCAAATGGGAGTTTCATTTATATTTTTTTTAGGAAACTCCATACTGTTTTCCACAGTGACTGCACCAGTCTGCATTCCTACCAGTGTATATTAGGGTTCCCATTTTTCCACAATCTCAACAACATTTGTCATTTATTGATTTGTTGATGATAGCCATTCTGACAGATGTGAGGTGATATTTCATTGTCATTTTGATATGCATCTCTCAAATGATTAGTGACTTTGAGCATTTTTTTCATATGTCCCTACATATAAAGTAGATTTTAATTTTGAAAATGTGAAAAGCAGGAATTGCCTCTTCTCACCATTACCTAAGTATTCTATCTTGCTAATCTTGACTTTTTGTTTGTTCATTTGTTTCAACTAGCTTCTCCTACTCAATCATCCTTTCTGCATTTCTACATGCAAAATTCCTACTAAACTAAACAATCTAGATCAAATTTTATGTTCTTTATGAAACCAGAACCAAGCTTCCAAGAAATCCTCTGTCTCCTGGATTATAAAATGTGTTTTTCGCCCAGCCAGCCAGGGTGGTTCAGTGGTTAAACATCAACCTGTGAACCAGAAGGTCACAGTTAGGTCAGGGCACATGACTGGGTTGCAGGCTTGATCCTCAGTGGGGGGTGTGAAGGAGGCAGCCTATCAATGATTCTCTCTCATCATTGATGTTTTTATTTCTCCCTCTCATTTCCTCTCTGAGATCAATTTAAAAATATATATTTTTAAATGTTTTTCACTCTTGTAAATGCTGACACAAGTTTTCCTGCTTTAATGAATTTATTTGTGTGTGCATGTGCATGTGCAAATGTATGCACTCATCTGTAATAGATAAGTTCCTTAATAAAGGAGTTTCTTTTAACTTTTTCTCATAACATAATATTGCCCAAATAGTAAAAGTATTGACCTAGTAAATACTTTGAATAAAAAAAAGCACAATGGCATTTCACAGAGTTTGTAAAGAAGACTTCTGTAAATATATGTATACATATATTTCTCTGAGAGCCCGTCCTCTCTAAGATATTGGTATATATATAAAATTACAGAAATACAGTTTATCTGTGGCTTTGTTCACTTTTGTCACCTGCATATATGTGTGTATGCTTTTAATATTTTTGTGGCATCACAAAATAAATATTCATGAAATATTTTTATGCCAAACCTTTAGTTTTTTATGTAGATCAGTTTTGTTGCCAAAATTTTAACCAGGTGGTATTTGATGGTGGTGAATAATAAAGAACCTTAACTGTGGGTTATTAAATCTTAAAGTTAAATTAACTAATCAGGTAATACCATTGATCTACTCAGACTAGGTGGTTCTCATCACAATATATCACTTGGTTTAAAAAAAAGGTAATTCAAGTTTAAATGCAAGATAAAGGTATTAGAATGATAATAAAAAATAAATAGAATGTGAATATGAAATTGCATTATAAACTGTAAAATTCTCTTTGAATTTAGAACACTCTCCTTACTTTCAGCCATCTTTGAAGATGTGTTGCAGTATAAGACAACAAACCAAATAAAATATGTTCATATCAGGTCCTATATTCTGAAAATTGTTGCTTGACATTTTCATAAATATATACTGACCCAATATATTTTTACATTGTCATGATTATCTGTTTTTCTAATTTTTAGTAGAAAGTAATATTTTGGCATAGTTACTAGTACTTTATAACAACCACAAAATTCCCTTTTATGTAATTAATTTTATCCACCTCAAAATAATACATTTTAAATGTATTTTTATAATCTCCCCTACATCCATTTCTGGGTACTACTGTGAGAAAAGGGCATTAATATATTCTCAGAATCAATAAAATAAAAACGGAAATTTGAGAGGTAGAATTATATGAAGTTCTGACCTATAACCATATCTTGGGACATTTTATTTCTCAGTTCTTCAGGGGAATTAAATTTAAAATAATAACTTATAAAATGTGTAGTTTTTCCTCCCATATAATTAAGTATGTAAAAACTCAGAGAATACAGCTATACAAGATAGTGTTAGAGTATTAAAACAAGGCTCAGATATATTAAAAACCAGCTTGAACTCTGTATTAACACTACTTTGTTGGATTAGCTGGAATAATAAATACTACTTTTGTCTTTTATTTAGTCTTTTATCAATCAGAGATTATAACACCTATTGTTATTCTATACATGTAATAAGAAACTAAAATGAGACCTTGAGAAAGTAGCAGTTATATGGAGTAATATAGAACTAATTAAGATAAAAAAAGGCAAAAACAAAAGTCATATATATATATATATATATATATATACACACACACACACATATATACATGTTCATAGATATTCACTCTAAAAATCAACATGAGTGATTAAAACAAAATATAAGACAAAAAATCTTGCAATACATATTTATGAAAGATAGATAGCCAATAATTTAATTAAAATATGGTCTTAAAATAATCAGAAGCATAGTAATAACCAAAGATACTATTGAATGTTCTCGGAGTGCAGTGAAGAATTGGGTTTGCAACTTTGATGTGTTTGCCATTGGCTAATCTAATTTACAATTCTATAGGATCAAAGGTTAACTGATGAATTTTTAATTGAAAAGCTTCAAATATTTTCTGCCAATGGGAAAGATAATTCAAAAGATTATTTTTTATTGTCCTGTTGGATATGAACTTGTTTATATCAACCTAGCAATTATACCTCAATTTGCATTTTTCAATTATCTATAAATATCCAGCTCTTAAATATACTTGGAACTGGTTGTAATTACCTTCCCTTCCCCTATTAATAAATCACTTAAATAAGACGTTTGGTACATGTTCACTGTATATTTTCAGTTTTAGATGCCCCACTGAGTTGCCTTTGTGGGCTTATCTGATGGAGTCAAGTGATTTTTGCTAGAGAAGAGCACCTCAGAGGCCACTAGGGCCCAGGCACCTTTTGTTTTTTTCTTCCAGAGAAAAATCCAAAAGGCAACAGAATTTTCATTTTCCAAACTACTTGTTTCTTCCTTCCCTCCTTACTTCTACTGATGATTTTCTGTTTTATTTTTGCTATTCACTCATTCCAATAACTCATTTCCTAATGGTAGCTAATTTAAAATTTGGAATTTAGTCTGATAATCTGGGCTATTTCTGTCCGGTGAGTGATGGAGATCTATAACCTATTAAGTAAAAAGTGACAGAAAATCTACTTCTTACTCGTTTTTGTTTGTTTTCCTTTGTCTGTTTATAAATAGAAATTAACTAAGAAAGCATTTTCTACACGCACCTGGCAGGGGAGAGATCACGATCAAGAAGGGGTTTTCCCAGACTAGGTTTCCCCTTTGCACTGGGTGTGCTGACCCCTGCGATTTCCCCAAATGTGGGGAGTAGCCTGCATGGGCCGTAGCAGGCGGGACTGAGCTAGTGCTCTCTCCTGGATATATATATTTTTTCAAGTATTTATACCCAATTCAGAGAATAGTTCTTTAATCTGGAATGTTGTTTCTATTTCTACTTTGACACATGACTATTAGAATTGAAACTACAAGCAGTCTACATTTCTCATTTTTGTACAACTCAGAAAATATTTTACCTCAGGGTGAAGTCTTTTTCTATTTATGGAGAGTATTTATAACTTAATTATATATATATATATATATATATTAAATTAAAAGATTACTATAGCTTTATAGAAATAAATCAGTGGGCATATAAATTCATCATTCTTCAAATCAACAGAAAATAAAAAGACTAAATTTTTAATATTTAAGTTTGCGAAATAAAAGGCAAATCTTTGTTACTGAAACTGCTAGTTGTGAAGTATTTTTAATGAAATTTACATAATTAAATTGATTTAATATGTTTGGTTTAGGATACGTTAGAAAGCAGCTTTTCTCTGCTGTGTTTTCTCTGATCTATCAATATACAATATGATACAAGTGGATATTTTGTTTTCCAGTTATATTAAGAATTGTTTATTTATAAACAGGTTAATTTTACATTCCTAATTTTTTAGAACTTCTTTTCTGGCCTAAATAATAATTTTTATTCCTATATAATCTTTAAAATTATGAAAAATGTAAATTTGTTTTCAACCAAATAGCATCATAATTTTAAAGAATTTTTATAGTAGCAATTATATTTTTAGTATATTAACATGTAAATAATTTCCAAGATGTTTAGGTAACTTGAAATCTTACATAATATTAAATCAAGATAATTAATAATCTTTGAACAATTACACGATTTAAGTAACATAGAAAGCTGATAAACAAGTATACTTTATACATATTACAAATTACATATATACGTATATACTATGAAATAACTTTTTACTGGGTTATAGAAATGGACTTTTTTATCACTTAAAAATGTACAGGGGATGGTATGGCTATAGAAAATATGCTATGGGTATTCATGAATTTTGCTTGTTTGCTAGTAATACATTTGTGTGTGAACAGTTCTAAATTTTCTATCTCTGTTTTCTTTGTGAAATCAATATGTGTTTTTTGTATGTTTGTTTTTGCTTAAATATGGTAGGTAAGTCTACCTAGGAGTAAAACTTATGAATAAATAGGGTGAGTTTTCGTTTTCATTTTGCTATAAAATGTTACTTTTTCCTGAATTTGAAAACATAAAAGACAAAAGTTGAGGAAAAATAGAAAGTTGTAGAATACTGAGGGGAATGAATCCATTTTATTTTTTTTTCCTAGTTTAATAATACCTGAATCTATAAAGAAGATATTATTAATTTTTTTAACTTTTTGGCAAACTTTGCCATTTTTAGTGAGCTTACTTATGAAAAATTTGAGACCTCATGACAACATTTTTTTCAAATAATATATTAGTGCAAAATGAGAATTTAGCATACTTTACGTCAAAAGATACTATATATCACCAGGAGAATAATTTTCTCTGTGTGACTTTACCATTCCCTTAATTATTTTTTTTAATGCATAAAAACAGAGAACACAGATATCTCGCTTATCAAAAACCTATTTTCTTACATTTATGTTTTCTTTCTGTTTTTATTTTAAAACTGTCACTTTGATTGTAATCAAGTATTTCCCATGCCTTCAGGATTCTTTCCTCTGAAAACTCCCTTGATTCTGTGTTTCCAATCTATGATGCAATACTTAGAAAAGAGGGGGAAAAAAGAACTTTGCACCAAAAACTGCCTTTGAAATTTGCCTGAAGCCTTAGAAATCACAGAGATTTGTTCATTCACTGTATGGAAAGAAATGCTATGCCTCACCTGTGTGGGGCATATATTATCTCATCAGTGTGGGAGAAGCTGCCTGGGAAGAACTGTGAAATCAGAAGACAGCCTTTCCTACGTGAAGCGTCTAAGGATACTGTTATCAACATGAATACTTAAGACGTCCCACGCTTCGCGGGAAGCAGTGGGTATTTTTGTGCCTTCCATTTGCATACTCGATTTTACCTTTGAGGAAACATGGACCAGAACTTTATGAAATGGTTGTGCATTGTAACTTAAACATAATTTTACATTCTTCATTTTTAAATAGCTATTTATTGAAATATACTAACCAACGCCTTTCAGTCTTACTGATTTCAGTCTTACTGTTTGTTCACGGCTATAGCTTAGAAGCTATCTTCGCGGCCCCAGAGCTCTGTGGAAAGAAATGGACCAAGTTCTTCTTATACTTCAGAGAATGGGTACTTTCATGTAGTCTACTAAGTGGACATTGCTCATAAACATATTTTTTAAATTTTCTTATCCCTAGAATCATGTTTTTAAAAATTTAAATATAGTTGGTATGGAATATCATATTAGTTCTATCAGCTTCTGGTGTTCAATATAGTGATTAGACATTTTTATCCACTAATTCCAGTATTCATCTGTTCTCGTGCAAACAACTTTTGACTGTACAAGTGGCCAAGATCCAGGGAAGGAAGAATTAATTACATAAACCTGAATGATTAATGAGGGAATTGTAGCTCTTGTTATGTAGTCCTTATTTATTTTAGAACATTATAGCAATGTTTCTAGTGTTTTCTTGGTACCTGACTTTTAAGACCTCAGTTTTACAGGTGAAAAAAAGAACGTTAAAAAGCATAGAAAATTTTGAGGGTCTCAAAAAAAAAAAAATACAGTTCATCCACATTTAGAGGTAGTATGGGTAAAAACAGAGTTTTCTACTTGGTGTTCTAGCTTTAGTATACAAGAACAAATAAGTAGGCTTTTATAAATGTAATCTAGTTTCCTTGTGAACATTTTTAGATGAAATTTAATTCCCTGTCATTGGTTTTCTCAAAATTGCATGATGAACAAACCCTATGTAATTATCCTTTAGTTGGACCCATATGTGTAACAATCTGAACAAATATTATGAGATGGGTCTTAATATAATTAAGAGGAATCTTTTGAGATTACCATCAACATGGCAGCAGGAAATGGTCAGAAGAATTATCTGAAGCTTAAAAATAAGCAAAAGAGATTACTACTTATTCCTTTAGGGGAGTTTTGGTCTTACAACTTTAATTGATTTTCTGCTGACTGGGTTATTTTATATCCTGTAAGGGCAGATTTATTTTGTTGATTATTTTCAAGATACAAAAAAATATATCTCTGGTAAAAAAAGAATAACTTTAAAGATAATGATTATTTCCCTAAGTGACACAAATAAACTTTGTATCTAAAAAAAAATTATCTTAGTATTCTTTTATTATCTTTCCAATGCTACCCAGAGGCTCAAATGAACTTTGAACTGGATTCATCACCATATTGCTTCCCTCATTATGAAAAAATAAGTTGGCATACATTCACTATCATTGCAAGAGTCACTTTTTTGACCTTTAAATTTTATCATTAGGGATATTCACATTAAAACCAAAATGTCATAGAAAAAAACACACCAAAAAACAACAATCAGTAATGATAACAAAAGGTCTTTATATATCAAATGTTGAAAAGAATGTTGAGACAGTAAAATCCACATTCCACATGCACTCACCATGGGAGGATAAACTGATAATCAGGAAAGGTTTGGTAGTATCTACAAAATGTTAACTTATATAAATGTTTGACCTAGCAAATCCATATACGTGTATATGTATGTGTATGTACCTATATATGTGGATATATATTGAATATTCATATATCCTACATACATGCAAACATACGTTCACCAAAAGAGATATACTAGGATTTTTATAGTGACACTTTTTGCAATAACTGAAAAGTGAAAAATGACCCAAATATCCATCAAGAGTAGAAATGATAAATTTTGTGTATATTTACAAAATGGATTATATACAGAACTGAGAATTAATTAAAACCTACATGAAATATATGGATACATTTCACAAATATGATGCTGAGAGAAGCAAGATATAAAGAAGTAAAATTCTATAATTTCATTTAAATCTACTGCAAAAAAAAAAGTTAAAATTAATCTATATCATTAGAAATCAGGATGACTGATTGGGTTCCAAAAAAAACCACCATTATGAGGTATTTGGGAATACTGTTCATTTCTTTAAATGTTTTAAGTTCAGATGTAAAATTTAAAAAATTAAAGCAAATATGAAATGTATACTAAAATCAATAGCCCACTCTAAGGCAAGTCAGGAAGAGTTCGGTTTTAGGAACAGGAGTTTTTATCCTGTTGTATCGTTGAGCAGAATGTTATGGTTCTATGAAAAAAGGATTTATTAGGCAAAATATGATATCCAGGGACCTATACACCAACATCATGTAACACCAATAGAAGTGCTGACTTCAAACTGAAGTATGGGTGACAGAAAGAAAACATTTATAATGTGTTTTAATGTTATTGTAATTATTCATTAAATTATGGGTTTCTTTTTTTTAATATATTTTATTGATTTTTTTTTTTTTACAGAGAGGAAGGGAGAGAGATAGAGAGAGTTAGAAACATCGATGAGAGAGAAACATTGATCAGCTGCCTCCTGCACATCTCCCACTGGGGATGTGCCCGCAACCCAGGTACATGCCCTTGACCGGAATCGAACCTGGGACCTTTCAGTCCGCAGGCCGACGCTCTATCCACTGAGCCAAACCGGTTTTGGCCAATTATGGGTTTCTTAAAGGCAAGTATTATATTTTCATGCATTTCAATTTCTTCCTGGTGTTTCTATGTTATCTTAGTCTTTTAAGCTATTTATTCTGTTAGTTATAACTCATAAGCTAGAACAAGAATAAAACAGATAAAGTATATTGGTTAGTATGTGCCAAGTACTTTAAAAATTCAATCTAAGTGAATTAGCTAATTTAAATATTTAAATATTTATTTGTGAATGGTTTTAGAGTATGTCATGTAAAAACAAGTTTATAGCTGCCATGGGTAGCTTTGATGGCTTAATGATTTAGAGAAATCTCAAGCTCCTTCTGTTTTTCTGCTCCAAAATCCTTGCTTCCTTGGTCAAATTTCAAGATGTGTACTGTACCTCC